TGTTCAGGATGGTTTTCCATAGGCATATTCACACATTCTTTCACCACCAGCATAGCCCTTTGTGGTCACTGTGCCACTGCTTTCAAATAGTTTCAAATACTTCCGAGCTTTCACAGGATCCTCAGGAACAACATATGCTGAAGGAAAAAACTTAAATCAACTAAGAGGCAAACAATTATGATCAATTAATTCTTCACAGGGTGAAGAAATAAACACCAAACTGAACTTAATCACAAGCTCTCTTAAAAAAGGCTTACATCTAAAATGCTATAGTAATGAGAATAAACAACAAAATTTGAAATTCAAGCTCTTACTGCCTTTTTTCAGCCTGTGGGGTAAGAAATCAAGATAGTTAAGAAGAGTCATATCATATCTCACTTTATCATTATTTATTTTTTCAAATTTATGACAATTTCTAGGTAAATATTCTTTCATGTTGACACAACTAACTTCAGTGACCTCAACAGGATACCTAGCACACTTTTATTTTTCACAGTAGAGAAGCTGAACAAAAGTTGCAGTAGAATTTCAACTTTTCCATGTAAGGAAAAGTAAGGCTTTATGAACTGGAAATACTGATAAGTACTCATGTGCATTTCACACTTTACCTCTGTTTCTGCTGCATGGGCTGTTGTCTCATAGCCATATATTGCATGTCCTCTTGTAGTCGATTAAGAGGAGAGTCTGGCTTGACACGAATCCCATAGTAGTGGTATTTGGAGTTTCCCCTTTATGAAGAAACAATACTTAAGAGAACAGTAACACTAATTTTATGCATCTACATTACATTTACTTTACAATTTACATTGACTGGAAAATAATAAACACAAATCAGGCCTGACTCTGTCAGACCTGTTTTACATGGGTGTCATTTTACCACCTTTGGGAAATTAGTTCACTTTCTTAAATATTATCCAGCATTTTAACTTGTAATTCACTTGAGTGAGAAAAATAAAATGTAAATAAATAGACCTTATTTAGTTATGGAGAAACACAATTCTTAGTAATTTCCAAACAAGCAGCTACATTTTATCTGTACTGATAAAAATCTGCAGTGTATTTATCAAAATGTAAACACATAAACAGTCAAAAACAGGAGAAGTAACTATAATAATATCTGGAAAAGCATAAACTTGTTTAACATTAAGAGACAGAACTGACAGAAAATGACTGTAATATATAAATACAGGTTTTACTTATTTTTTGACTAGGAAACAAGTTTCTTACTCATAATTATTACTTGTATTTTCTATTACAGTGCAGGATTTCATTACACACACCTAGTTCCGAGTCTTCTGGTCCGTAATCCCATGAAGATTGACCGTATGAGTTTTCCAAAGGAGGCAGCATTGACTGGATCCAATTTATGTTCCTGACAATGTCGTAAGTAATGGTTGTAAAGGGTACTTCTTGGGAGGCTCACTCCTTCTGCAGTTTCGTAGTTGTCTAAAAGCCATTGAAGCTGTATCACATACAAAAAGAAAAAATCATTATTATTTTTTTAAAAATATCTTAGCGATACAACATTAACTTATGACAGTTATGAAACACTCTTCAGGTCTATTAAACAATTACTTCCTTCTTCAGATTCTTGAAATGCTAGCTATACCACAGTGCTTTAGGATCTTCAGAATTACCAGGAAATAGCAGAACTCATTGCACTTGTGACCTCAGATAAGTGTCCACTTCTTAAAGTATTTTTGATTCAGTACCACACACCAATACTTGATAAAGGTATCTATGCTTTGGAGACAAACTTTTAATACTGCAAAGAAATAAAGTAATCATGAATGTAATTCACATAAATTCCAGAAAACAAAGTCCTTTAACAATAGTTAGTTAATGTATATATAAACCTGGAATATTATACTGTTTTTCTTCGCCTGATGTTAAAAAACATTACAACACTTAACTGAATAGGATATTTTTTACTCTCAGATACATAAAAGAAAAAAGCTATTGCATACAAAAGCAACCTAGATAATGTTGAAAGTAACTGGTACATCTACAAAGCATTAGGAGTACAATTCCTTTCAGTTGTAACCTTTGACTTCCAGGAGGAGCAGAATAAGATTTTTGGAAAAATATTAATTTTTACATGTAATTGTGATAGGTAATTTTAGAGACATGCAGGAAAAGACTTTTCATGTAACATCGAGTGCACACTCGTGAAACACCTCTAGCTGTCACTAATATACAAAAAAGTAAAAAGGAAAATTTAATAGTCCTATATTTAACATTATAGGAGAATGACAAAATAGACCAAAAATAATACAGGTTGAGAACGCATCTAAATTCCACTGTTTTATGGTATGCTAACATTGATATGCTAACATTTGCCTTATCTTTCCCCAGTACTCGCCATTGTTACAGCTCCCTCAAATTTTCCTTTAGATATAGCTTGAATGATTCACAAATTTAATTTTCTGATTGAAATTTATTTCTCTGTTTTCCTAAGAGTTTATACTAAAATAATACAGTGTGAATATTCAAGCTTGCTAGGATCAGCGATCTTACCAAAACTCTCAATTTAATTTGATTATCCAGTGAAAATGCAAATTGAGGACATTGCGTCTTCAACACTTGCTACAAAACTTTTAATCCGATGCGCTAGGTATGCACATAAATGTGTAATAATTTTCAATTTAGACCAGCAAAGCAGTAACTAGTATAACCAAAACACAAATTGAGTGACAATGAGAGATATTCATGGTCTATGTGTTATTTATTCCTTTGCAGAATTATTTTCTGTTAGAGCAGTGCACAAATTCTGTTCCATCAATGTTCAGTGTAAATTATCATGTAAAAATGAAATATTTTAGTGTACAATAGCCATGAAATGTTTCAGTCCTGACTTTTTCTTAATCACAGAACTGAAATGTACTGAAGTACAGATGATAACAAATATATTGAATTTATAGCTATATTTTAGTCAGAGCGAGAAATTCACCAATAAAAATGCAAAAACCTTACTACAAAACTTACTCTAGACCATTCAAACACCATTTTCATATTTGCTTTTTATTGAAAACATGCCTATTAACTTTCCCATGTTTCTTAAACATAAGCTTTAGAAAAATATACTCAAGTAAGCTGTAAATTCTTCCACGACAAAATTTTTATCTCAGTTTTCAGGTAATTTTGCATTCCAAATAGACAAAATGAAAAGTACAGCTCATCATCTTTGTATTAGTTATCACATCATTATTTTATAAGTCTTAACATGCACAAGTGCTTCAAAATTGAGCATCTGTCATTTTGAAATAAAGCTGAAGAAGTATAATCATAAACATTAACTTTTAACTGAATATATTAAACTTACTTCACTAATGACCTGACATAAAGGTAGTTATATCTTTCAACTGTTGCATTTTATCTATTATTGCATCTATATTTATATTATATACAGTTATATAGCATTTGTCATATATTATTAAATCTATAACTTAATCAGAACAGATATGGAATGTGAAATATTCCTGTCTTCCCCAAAGGGAAAAGCTTTGTCAATCCCAAAAGACTGACAAACAAAAAATAATTGTTTTCCAATTAAGTTCTGTATGTAGCATTAAAGATATTTTCCTCCAGATGGCTTCTAACCTATTAAGAATCACTTTAAGTGCATTTCATTAATGATACGAATTTCTAACAGATGTTAGTTCAACTATAACTTGCATTATTCAACATACAAAGAACCAAAAAGATAAATGCAATATAAGAATTTTTGCTCCTGGGTGGAGTTACTTAGTAGCAAAGGCTTGAAGTAATTTCTTGCTAGATTATAGCCTGGAAGAAAAAGTGCAGTTAATACGCGATTTTAAAAGGAAAATTACCTCCAAACACTACAAAACTATTGTAAACAACTTAAAAAAAATTTTTTTTCTACCAAGATAAAAGATTCAAACCTGAACAGCTCAGTATATTTCAATTCATAGTAGTGACGATACTGTATAGGTAAGATGGGTGAAGGTATGAAATATTTACAGTCTCAGACCTGTTAAATTGACTGTGACTCCAATTAAGCTGCAATGTTTATAAATCATTCAACTATCCGTTAATTAAATAAGTCAATCTCATGGAGAAATAAATCAAGAAAGAAAAGAAAAGAAAAGAGAGGAGAAGTGACAAACTCCTTAAAATGAGCACACATGAATTGAAGGAAAAAAAAAAGTTCCTAGAAAACCTCTTGGAGGTATCATAGGGCAAAAATCCCTATCTCAAAACTAGTATGTTCCCACAAATTAATAATGTCTGCAAAGTGAAAGTTAATTAAACATACAATTTAGAATTCTATTTTAAAACCTATTGAACACAACTATTTTAATAAATGTCAAACCAAACCATTAGAAGTCAAAATCAAAAACAGTTTAAAAAGGCAAAGACTAAGCCTGTACTTAAACTTCCTTCAGACTGTCCTAAATGTTCCTTCATACTGTATGACTTCAAACTTCTGAGTTTAAAGACAATAAGGGTTGCTTTAAAAATAGGCAAAACATCCAGTAAGTTTGACCTAGATTATTAAATTCTTCCAAAATGACCAAGGCTAGGAAAGATTAATTGCCACAAAAAAATTTACAGAGACCTTCCTCCCCTCCTCCCCTTACAGAGTCAAAGATATATCCCTATCAGAATAATTTTGAAAAAAAACTTCACAGTCAAGAAAGAAGTTTCATGATAAGACTTGAGAGTTGGATGTGAGTGTCATTATTAGGAACATCTAGTGAACAGCACATAGCACCAGGAATGAGTGTAACAGTTTACTGAGGCACAGCAGCTTATCTTGCAATTCTTCTTGGTTTTACACCAAGATTCTGGACCTCATAACAGGATTAAACACAAGCTTATTAACAGTTCAAGTGTTCCAAGTCTTAACATCTTAAAATAAATTTCTGACATTAGGACAAAAAAAGTAATAGTCCCATTAGATATTACATTTAAATAATAATTTTTATACTATCTGCCTAATAACTATTATTTAAATAGTATTTTTGATACTGTCTTATCTTCAGAACAACTATTTTGTAAACATCCAAGGCAGAATCAAAAAGTCCTTCTGTATAACGTTTTGCATAACTTCTTGTAATACAATTTTCCGCTTTCAATTTTCGCATTTTGTAAAGAAAAATAAAGTTTGCTTACGATTTCCACAACACAATTCTAATTTTGACTTTGACATAACCAGACTCATACAGAAAAAATCCAAAACCCAAATCTGCCAAAACATAAATTTTTAATTTGATTTCTGATGGACTGATATCTTACATTAAGACCACAACCAAATATAAATTTCTTCTGCAAAACAATAAAGGAATTTGAATTTATATAATTAGTAAAGCTGAGAAGGAAAAGAGAGGTAAGATGAATACAAACTAATCAATATGGTAAAAATACAAAATACGAAAACACAAATACCAACAGAAAAAAAAATTTTCAAGACAGACTAGTAACTCAGAAAGCAGTATTTTTTTTTTTTACATAATAGGTTTAAAATTAACTTTGGGCCTTTTTCCTTTAAAGTTACATGCAATGGATTTATCAGTATATTTGGAGATCATGTTTTTACCCAAATATCTTTTATTTTCATATATGGAAAGTCCTTAACTGTAAGATTTGCAGAGTAAGATCAAAGCAAAAGGCAGCTGAATAAGACATTTTTGTGTACTTCATTTTTTTACAGGTCATCATAAGGGTCTTTACATTCTTAAGTTAAGTTATTTCAGAATAAACTCTCTATTCAGAATAAACGAAGAAACATCTAAGAATAACCTAAAGATATTATTTAGGCATGCTGCTTGTTTCTCCTCTTCCTCTTGACATGCCCCAAAATTAATATAAGGTACACAGATGTTGCTTGGTAGACAACTTTATTTAAAATGTCAAAAGTCAGCTAATTTAGAACTATTTGAATTTTATCTTGCCATTTACACTATAATCTGCAAAACAGTCAAATGTGTTAAGTTTTCTTAACACAGATGTAGAGCACAGGAAACAGGTAACACTCTGCAATATATCATAAAGACATTTCATCTGACAAAATAAAGCCATGGGAGATGTAGTAGAAGATTAAAAGCAACTAAGATGAGAAGATTAAGAGCAAAAAGTAGTAATAAAATAAACCAAACATTTAGAGGCAGGCTGAGCATGCAGAACAAGCAAGAGAGAGTGTATGTGAAGAAGAGACAACTTACATGGCTGTTGAGAAGAGAGCTTCTGTGAGTGGACAGACCATCAGACTTTTGCAGTGTCTCAATCGCCATTTCAATCTGATAATAGATGTCATTAAAAAAAGGACTCAAGACGAGATAGTAAAAAAGCCTGATCAGAGAAGTTTTGACAGGTTGCTTACAGATCAATAGAAACGCCTCCTTTATTCCTGGCTAGGGCATACGTTCTACTAAAAGGCCTCATTCCAGAGTTCCAGTGAACACAAACCTCCCCAGTGAGGTCAGAAAGACATTTTGTTTGCATATATGCTGCAGGATCACAGCCTCAAAGTCCATTTTACTTTCCAACCTGCTCAGGATACTAAATGAGTAGATTTACTTGTGAGCTGCACTGAAATAAAAATAACCCTTATTTAACAAAATTATAATTAATAAAATAAATAAATAAACACCTTAACAGAATTTTAGGAAAGGCCTGATTGTTTTCCCTCCTACTATATCAGAAAGAGACATGCACAGCTTGCAGTAAGAATTGAAGTAGAAATAAAATTTCATATCTCTGGAATCACAGAATCAAATCCCAAACACAAATAATTCAATACGTTTTCCACTAGTAGCTTCACTGGGACAGGACGTCACCCTTACTGCTGCCAGCACCCTTTGAATATCCACAGTTGTCAAAGTAAATGGAAAGTCAGAAGTTACACAGACTGCAGGATCCAGCCTTGGGAAAAACAGATTGATTCACAATAATTTTGCCTTTTAAAAGGAAAACACAGCACTACTAAAATACAAAGTAGTATTTCTTCAAATGCAAATGTATGAATACTCTCACATCCATTCCCATCCTTTTCTTTTTTAATATCTATTGATATTTTGATCAGTTATATAACTACAACATTAAAGAAAAATTAGAGCCTAACTGTAATTTAATTGGGAAGCTAGAAGTGCAAAAACAATGAAACTGACAGAGACAATGGGATGCGCAGTAAGAAAAGGCATGCAATTAATTAGCTACATTAAGTGGCCAAAATGAAAGCAATGGAAACCACCACTTATACTTTTAAAAACACTTATCATTCTCTGTGTAGACATTTTTTAATGAGCCCTCCCTAGCCTACTCTAAATATCACAGTACTATCCATAATTTTAGTGGCATAATTTATCAATATTGGCTGAATTCACTCTCTGTATAGCAGAAAATGAAAAATACTACAGTTGATATTTGAATTTACTGTACACATAAAATTAGCTTCTCCCTTTTTTACAGGGCAACTGACAACTATTTTATTGTAATAACTTAATTTCTCTCTTACAACTGTTTAATACTAGCCACACAAGCCTTTTCCTAAAAAGTATGTTATTAAAAGTATACAATTACTATGTGAGAGAACATATTCTTACATGGCAATAATTTTAAAAAAATTTTCTGATTTCTTCTTGCTTTAGTGGAAAATACTGTAAGGTCAAAGTATTCAGGCACACAGGAAAGATAAAAATTTAAAAGCATGCCACATGACAAAAACTACGAGCTTAAAATACCATCACAGTAAGGTCAACTTACTATATAGCATAGCCACAGAATTTCCCTTCTTCACATAATGCTACCATCAAACAATGAAAAATGTATACACCTTTAAATCCTAATTCTGAATCTTAGGTTACTTGTTCCACAATGGTTAGTCCACAGCAGTATTACAGCACTGAAGTTACACCTCCTGCTGCTCATTCCCACTACTGCACTACTCTCATTTTGCTGCTGTTCATTATTTTGTTCATTATTCCTAGTCTAAATTTTGATAAATCAACTTCCAGCTTTATCTGACAGATACATACCTCTTTAACAACAGAAACCTTCTGCCTGTGTAGGCTATACAATCACTTCTTAACTATTTTTGAGCGTAAAATATGTTTGATATGGAGACAGATTTTTCTAGACACTATTGTTCATCTTGCCCTTTCTGAAACTTTCCAGCTACTTCTTTTTTTCATCTATTGGTGTTCCTCAGGTCTCAATTCCAGGGCCAGTTCTGTTCAGTATTTTTATCAATGATCTGGATGCAGAAGTTGAATGCATCATCAGCAAATTTGCTGAAGATACCAAACTGGAAGGTGCTGTTGACTTTCTCGAGGGATGAGGGGCCTTGCAGAGGGATCTAGATAGATGAGAGCATTGAGCAATGATTAATGGGATGAAATTTAACAAGTCCAAATGCCAGATTCTGTACCTGGGACAGAGTGATGCGAGGCACGAGTATAAACTGGGAGAGGAGTGGCTGGAGAGCAGCCCTGCAGAAAGGGACCTGGGGGTGCTGGCTGACAGCCGGCTCAACAGGAGTCAGCAGCGTGCCTTGGCAGCCACGAGGCCAAACGGCGTCCTGGGCTGCAAACGTGGCATAACCACCGGGTCAAGAGAGGTGGTTGTCCCGCTGTATTCGGTGTTGGTACGGCCTGACCTCGAGTACTGCCTGCAGTTCTGGGCCCCACCATGTAAGGACATGAAGGTCCTTGAATGCTTCCAGAGGAGGGCACCCAAACTGCTGACAGGGCTGGAAAGCATGTCCTGTGAAGAGCAATAAAGGACATCTGGGTTTGTCTAGTTTGGAGAAAAAGGAGGGTGAGGGGTGACCTCATTGCTCTCTACAGCTTCCTGAGGAAGGGAAGTGGATAGGGAGGTGCTGATCTCTTCTCCTGGGATCCACTGACAGGATGGGTGGCAATGGGTCAAAGTGTCATCAGTGGAGGTTTAGACTTGACATTAGGGAGCATTTCTTTACAGAGAAGGTGGTCAAACCCTGCAACAGGCTTCTTGAAGAGGTGGTCTATGCCCCATGCCTGTCAGTGTTTAAGAGGCACTTGGACAATGCCCTTCACAACATGCTTTAACTTTTGGTCAGCCCTGAAGTGTTCAGGCAGTTAAGCAAGATGATTGTTGTAGGTCCCTTCCAAATGAAATATTCTATTTTCTTCTATTCTCTTATTCCAGGCTTTTGGGTTTCAAGATGATCTATGTGATAGAGTACTGTGTGTACTCTGTTAGGGAGTAACACATACCTGAGTAAAAAGTTGTTTATGTGAAGGATCTCTTCCTTTAAGCTTTTAAGTTCTAAGTTTTGGCCAGGGACTTTTATTTAGGTTCTAGAAAAATTGAACATAATTTCATCTCTATTCAAAACAGTATTTAAGCACATACACAGATTAATTACATAGGAAATGCAGTGGGTTTTGTTATGATATTTTGTGGAAAGAATACAAAAATAATTTTAACATTTAAAATTACATTCTGCATAAATACAAAAGGAAGACTGATACTCTTGCATTTTTAGCAATAAGCAGTGACAGATTCCAGGCACAACTAACTACATATACATCTGAAATGTTAAATGACAACAAGAATTACACATTCATTTATTTGAATATGTGATCAGTCATACATTTCTTCTATTCTTAAGACAAGCAAAAACATTACTTATTACAACATTCTGACTGATAACTGAAATGTACTGCGTCTCTACTAAACCGTGTTAAATGTTACACTACTGGTAGGAATGATAATCAGTTCATATAGTAACATAAACACGAGAGGACACTAAATGAAAGCATGATAGCTATGAAAACTGATTGTAGACTTCTCCTTCAATTGACTGTTTGCCAGCTAAAACACTGCCTTATGCTCCTATGCAGTTGTTAATGATTAAGGGTATCTCCGAAGGGGTTAAAAAATTCAACAGTTTCATCCCAGTATATGCATCCGCAATCCTACAATGTTCAGTCTTTATGTGATCTACTGATTTGGAAGTTATTAACTGTTTTTGCTAGTTTATGTCTTAATGTTCATCAACATGTTACTTGATAAATAAATTACGTATAATAGTCTCAGATGTGTATAGCACAGACATAGCAAATACCTACCCCAAACCCACTTTGGAAAAAAACTTTCCTCCTCTTTGGAAGAAGAAAGAAATAGTACTTTTTCATGATTCAACTAATTAACTAATGATTCAACTAATTAACACAAAGTATTTCTAGTAAGTTGTTCTAAAGAGGTCAGGACATTAAGGAGACAACCAACAGAAGTTTAAGCCCTGAGATTTTACAGTTAATCTGGATATCCTACAATATATTTTCTTTCATCTGTTTGCATCTGCAAACCACCCTCCACCACCTGCAGAGCAGGCAACTTTAGGTGGTATCTTAAAATTCAATACATTGTTGCAGCATGTTCAAAAAAGATAGCTTCTGTCTCCAACTGCACAGGCACCTCTTGTTCACAATGCCTTTTATCCACTTCCAAAGGTTTGCCCTTTTAGGCTTTAAAGGAAGTGAAATTCTAAAGGAGTTTTCCCCACATGCTCCATCATGAAGGAATTACTAATTCATCATATTTGTTCAAGAAAGATTAATTTGATACAGCTAGTTAAGTCCTGGGTACTTGTGACAACTGTGCTTACCTAAGTAAGGTGTATACACATCATGACATAACCTGAAGCTACAGGATAAAGGGGCTCGGGGCTTTTGAAAATGTGACGCTTTCACTCTTTTAAGATGCCACAAACACGCATTACTTACAGTGGCTTTCAATTCTGTTTCAGGACAGAGTATTCATGTATGTTGTACTGTTTTCTGAAACTTATGCCAGAGGGTTGTGTTATGCAGAACAAGCTTGCTCAGGAAAAAGAAGCTTGAAAATTAAATAGTATTGTCCACACAATTTGCTACAAACACTTAAAGGAAAACAAAAAGCCCCACCCTTGTCAAGCTGATTATAAGGACTTCTAGAACACACACATTCTACCTAACACTGAAAAATACACAGGAACATGTTGTAGTTACTCACACCAGAATATCAGACTGAGAAACTAAAAGTAAAGTTTAGTTCAGATTATCATGAAAATTAAATTTGAAAACATCTATGGCAAGACAGCCTTAGAGAGAGGTAAAGTGGCCATTTTAGAACAAATGTGTATTTAATCACAAACAAAAGAAACCCCATTCCTTTTTAGAAAGGTGATGCCTCCATGCCATTGATAATAAGACTGTTATGAGAACATCAGTGGTAAGTCATCTTGCATCCAGCTTATGCATCTTCAAATAAAACA